AGTCCACTAGTCCTTGATGGGTAAACAACGGAGGCCGCGGGGGCTCCATGGGCTGGGGACTCGGAAAACGTTGTCGTTTCAAGGTCGTGGGACAGAGGCCGGGATCGTGAAGGGCGCCGGCACCCCAGCCCCAGGAAAACAAAGCGCTTCTCCCAGGACGCGAACCCTCAGCTACTCTCCAGCGCCATCTAGTGACGCCCAGGGGTGTGACGCGCAGGGAGACCCGCAGCCCCAGCCAGAAGTGGGGGGGTGGGGGGTGGCAGGAGGCGAGGCTGGAGGTCAGGTCCCCATGTGCATGGAAACAAGACCTTTGCTGAGGGAGGAAAGGAGTTCGGTTCTTCAAAAATTATTTATTTTTAAAGATTTTTTTATATAAGAGATGGGGTACAGGCCAGAGGTGGGGGGGGGGTGAGAGGATTCACCAGAGACAGAGCGGGGAACAGAACAGGCAGACTGACTGAAATCCACTGCTGAGGGGAGCAGCGGGGAGACAGGAGAGGTCTGCCGTGCCATGTGGGTAGCTCTGTGGCCGGCGGGGATCAAACTGGCGCTGCAGAGGCTGCGGACAGCTCCACAGCGTGGTGCTCAACCCACTGCGCCAGCGGGGAGGCCCTCTTGAAAAATCAAAGAGAGCCCCTGTGACACAGCAGCCCACGCCAGGGAGCAGGGAGCGGGGCAGTGGTTAGGACAGTCTGAGACTTGCTCGGAGGCAGACGCCGGGTTCTCTGGTATCAGCTGGCTCAGCTGCTGGTGTCCGTGATTTTTCCACTCACTGCCACTGCTGTGCCTGTGGCAGCATTTTCTTTTCCAATTTTATTTTTTACAAACATCAACTTAACATTGTATGTACCCGCTGGGCACCCGAGGCCCCGGGCGGGTCTACCCCATTAGGCTCACCTCAGCAAGTCCAGTTCTGTTCATCCCCACATAACTGTCCCCTTTGTCCTTATTTACCCACCCCCTGGCCCATCCCTGTCTGGTAACCACCAGTTCGTCTTACCTAAAAGCTTATTTTTATTTCATGCTTGTTTCCCTGCATGTCACACAGGAATGAAGTCATATGGTTTTCCTGTCTGGCTTATTTCACTAAACATAATCCTCTCTAGGTCTACATCACAAATGGAAGGATTTTGCCTTTTTCATAGCTGAGTAGTACTCCACCACATACACATGCACTGCATCTTCTCTGGACACTTACATTGTTTGCCATTTTTGGCTACTGTAAACAGTGCTGCAATAAACTTGGGGTGGGGGGACATCCATTTCTTTGTGTTAGGGTTTTTGCATTTTTTAGTAATTTCCCAGAAGTGGACTCACTGTATTGCATGGAATTTCTATTTTTAACTTTTTACCAAATCTCCATACCGTTTCCCACACTGGGTGCACCACCTTACATGCCCCCTGACCGTGCATAAGGGCTCCCTTCTCTCCACACGCTGTTCAACAGTTTCTTGTCTTCTGGGTAACAAACGTTCTCATAAACGTGGGTGATAATTCATTGTGGTTGTATTTCCCTACTAAGAGGCAGCATTTTTTTTTCACGAGCCTAGACCATCTTTGTCTTCTCTGAATAAGCATCTACTCCGATCCTCTGCCCGTTTTTTTCCCCCTTGTTGAGCTTTGAGTTCGGTGTATATTTTGGATATTAAGCCCTTGTCAGGTGTGTGATGTGCCAGCACTTCCCCACACTCAGTAGGGTGTCTTTTTGTTGTGAAACAAGTTTTACTCTTGCTGTGCAGAAGCCTTTTAGTTTGATGTGGTTCCATTTATTTTTGCCTTTTTTCCCCTTGCCACAGGACTTGTGCCCCCAATTCATTATTTTAGAACTGTCTTGAATTTTTTCTTAATTTGTCTTAAATATCTTAACCGAGACCCTCCTGTTCCCAGTAATAAGATAACCGGGAAATGTGATTATTGTTTCCAGTGTGGCATGAAGAGCTTTATTGTATAAAGATAGTGTTGAAATACATTTGTGAAAATCTTGGCTAAATACTCTTGAATAACCGTATCCCATTGTAGCGCCTCAACTCCCTGAACAGGAGAGCGTGCCTGTGAGAGCCGAGGCCCGGGAGAGCCTCTTGAGAGCCCTCCTCAGCGCTGATGTTCTATCTGGCATTTGTCAGTAAAGGCTGAAGCAGCAAAGAAAGATTTCATTCGGGCCAGCATGCGGTCTAAGGGCGCGGTGCCCCAGGCCCTGCGAACAGGCCGTTTCTGAGGGAGCCAGGGTGCGGGCGCCCCCAGCTCATCTCACCTGCACGCGCGCGGGAAATGTTCCTTCTTCAAACCAGCGTATCTGGTTTTTGTTACTGACGCCTCCAATGAGCGACTTTCTTAACTTCATTTTTACCATCAGGTCTGCCAGGTTCTCTAATCAAGGGGACTTTATCCAGTGGCAGTGCTGGTCCCAAGGCTGAGCCACGCGCCCACACACCGGGTGGTTTAAGATGAGCACGGTGCTCTCTCAGTTCTGAGTCACAAGCCCGCTCCAGCGAGGACATGCTCCCTCCATGGCTCTAGGGGAGGATGGCTCCTTGCTTCTCTGGGCTCCTGGTGGCCCCTTTCCAGCCACAGCCTCGAAATCTACAGCACGCTGTCTGTCTTTAAGGACTACTTCCCAGAGCTGCCCATTTCAGAAACCCACTTTTGAGTACTTCTGTGCCATCCGAAACACTTGCTGCATTACATCAGGTTAATCTTCAACAAGCCCATTAGACAAATGACTATTAGTGACCATTTTGGAAATGAGGAAACAGAAAAGTCTCTTGCTACAGGTCACAAAACTAGGAAGTAAAAGCTGCGATTACCCTGCACCCTTAATGCCTACCCTTCCTGCTCTCTCTGCTTGCGCCTAAGTAGGGTGGTCTCGGCAGCTCAGAGTAGGAAGAGCCATGCTCGAAAGAAGCACTGGCAGCACGTTTTGGATTTCTTGTCTTTCTTTTTTTTAAAGATTTATTTGTTTGTGCATACAAGAAGTGGGGTACAGGCCAGAGGTGTGGGGGTGAGAGGATTCACCAGAGACAGAGTGGGGAACAGAACAGGCAGACTGACTGAAATACACTGCTGAGGGGAGCAGCGGGAGACAGGAGAGGTCTGCTGCACCCTGTGGGTAGCTCCCTGGCCGGGGATTGAACTTGCGCTGCAGAGGCTGCGGACAGCTTCACAGGTTGTGTCTTAACCCCCTGCGCCACCAGGGAGGCCCGGATCTCTTGTCTCCGGGGAAGTAAACACACCAGCAGTAAGTCTGGTATTATCTTAAACACCACTCATTTGCTTGCTTTTTAACCTCTGTATTAGAGGTAGGATGTGCTCCAGGTAACCTTGCCTTTGAGTGATGCTGAAACCAGCTGTGGGTCCTCACCCAAGTGCTGACAACTGCAGGACACAACCCAGCAGCACAGACACGGGGAGAAGCAACACGATTTATTTACACAGGGCGAGAGAAAAGGGAGGGCTGGGGCATGGGGGCTGACACACGGGTGGACAAATGGCCGGATCCTATCTGTCCCGCCCCACCCCCCCCAAAGGCCACTGAGCAGAGACCAGGTCCAAGGCCAAGTCGCACAGGGAAAGCTGTTTGCTTCTGCAGACACTCCCCTCCCCAGCGAGTTAACTGGGAACCTCAGCTCCATCCTTTTTCCCCACCAAGCCCTGCTCAGGGGTGGGTCTGGAGAGCCCGACTTCCCCCACGGAGGTGGCCAGGAGCGCGCTCCCCTCACGGCGCTGTGAACGACGACGATTCCAAGCTGTGGACACGGCGGGCAGGCGCACGAGGACGCCGCCACGCCGCGAGCCGGCCTCCCTGAGCTCCCGGGAGCGCCGGGCAGGATGGGGGAGGGCAGCTGGGGGCCGCCCGGCAAGCCGGGGCTCCTGGTCTTCGGCCGGGGGGCGCTCGGGACAGGGCAGCGCGCCCGGCCTCGGGGCGGGGCAGTCGGCTCCGCTGCCCCAGCTGTCCGGGCCTGCCCCGGGCGGGCTCTCCCGGCTCCGACGCGGCCGCGGGGCCGCTGGCCCGGGCACGGAGGGCGATTCTGGGATTCGACCCGGGGAGCCCGTGTCCCTCTCCCGCCCCGGCTCTCCGCAAGGACACAGCCCCGACGCCAGCCCGCGGCGCGCGCTGCGGGCCGTCGGGGGCCGCCGCGGGGGCGCCCCGTCCTAGGAGAGGGGCCCTTGCGCGGGGGGGGGCCGTGGGGGGCGCTCTCAAACCCGGGAGGTCAAGGGCGGGCTCCGTGTCCTCGCGTGACCCGATCTGCAAACGCCGCCCCGGCCCGCGCCCCGGCGACCGCCTGCGCCCCGCGGGTGCCCCGACGAGGGGCGAGGCCGCGGCGTCCACCCCGACCCCGGCGGCGCGAAGGCCGCGCCCGCCACCGGGCAGCGCGCGGACACGACCGGCGCGGCGGGGCTCCCCCTCCACTCACGTGACCTCGCCCGGGCCGCTGTCCTCGGCACCGGCGACCGGGCCGCGCGGACCGCCCGCCGCCCGCGGGCTCCGGGGACAGCCGACCCCGCGCGAGCGCCCGCGGCGCCGGACGCGGCGGCAGACACGTGACCCGCGCGCCACGGCCGCGCCAGGCACTGCGCCTGCGCCCGCTCCCGCGCATGCGTGAGGTGGCCACGCTCCTCCTGGCGACGGTTGCCAGGCAGGCTGCGCGCAGGCGCGGAGTAACGCCCCGGGGCCCGCGCGGGAGGTGCGGCGGGCCGGGCTCCGGCGCGCTTGCGCAGTAGCTGGACGCGGGCGTTTCTTTCCTCCTTTTTATTCGAATTGGTGGCGAGGGGTCGATTCGAGTTACAAAATGGCGGCCTGGAGCGTGCGGGGCGCTCCCCCGGCGGCCTCCAGCTGAGCGGACGGCTCCCCCGCCGCCCGGCGCGCCGAGACCAGGCCCCGGGGACATGGTGCTGGCGGGCCCGGGCTGGCTGACCACCAAGTCCCTCCAGGAGCTCCGCACCGCGGCCGCGGCCCGGCGCGCTCGGCCGGGCGACCGGCCGCCGCCTCAGCCCCGAGCGCCCCGGCCCCGCCCGCCGCCGCGTGCCGCCCGGCGACAGCTGCGGGTGAGAGGCCGCGGGCGGGCCGGGGCGGGCCGGGCCCGGGAGGGGCTGGGAGGGAGCCGGGTGCGGGCCGCGCCGGGATTGGGGGGCTCGGGGGCGGGGAAGGCCCGGCGGGCCGACCTGGAGGAGGAAGCCGGCGGCCGAGCGCGGGGCCCGGCCGGGGAGGGGCCCTGGGGGCGGGCGGGGTGCGGGGCCGGCCTGCGGGGCGCGGCGGCTCGAGTGGGCAGGCCCGGCCTCGGGGTTCACCCCGGGCTCTCGGCGCTTCCGGGCCCCTCGGCTCCCCGAGCCCGAGCCTGTCGGAGGCCGTCGGAGGCCGTCGTGCCCGCGTCGAGCCCGGCCTCGCGCTCCGGGCGCGGCCGTCCCCCGGGCACGCCGACGTGGGCCGGCGCGGCGCGGGGAGCCCCCCCCCCCCGGCAGAGGCCGAGTGGGCGCTGGCCCCCGAGTTTCCTCCGGGCGCGAAAGTCAGCGTTCCCGGCGCGGCGCGCCCGCCTCGGAGCCCTTTCGGGACTCCGCGCCGTTTCAAACGCGGCCCCGGCGTTTTTAAAACCCACTTAGTAGTTGTTGGCGCGTGGGGCCTCTGGTGGCGCAAGGGTCGAGCCCGCACTGTGAGGCTGTCCGCAGCCTCTGCAGCGCGCGTTCGATCCCCGGCCAGGGAGCTGCCCCCAGGGCGCGGCAGGCCTGCCTGTCTCCCCGCTGCTCCCCGCAGCCGTGCGTTTCAGCGGATCTGCCTGTTCTGCTCCCCGCTCTGGCTCTGGTGAGTCCTCTGGCCTGTACCCCCACATCTCTGGCCTGCACCCCAGCTCTTGCATGCATAAGTAAATCTTAAAAAAAATAATTGTTGGCACATACAGCACGAGGCGCCAGAGCTCATTCTAAATAGTTGCAGGGGCTTTTGGAGTTTTTTCACACCTTCCTGGTCTACAGAGGAAGAAGCTGAGGCGCAAAAATGAAGTAAGTTAGCGCCATCCCCAGCAAGAAAATGGCAAAACTGGAATTCTCCGATTTTTGTAGTGTTTTCTCATCTCCGTAGCGCCCTGGGCCGCTGGTTGAAGGGCCGCGACAGCGCCCCCCTTTGGAGTAGGTCTGCAAAGGAAGAGCACCGCGGGGGTCAGGCGTGACTCCGGCAGGCCTTCCCTACCTGTGGGGGTTTGGATTAAATGGTGAAATTTTACTGTTTTTGCACTTTGAGCTCCACCCGTTTTGCCAGTTTGTCGTAATATCTTAAATTATTTACAGCTAATATAATTCACTTAAATGTCAAAAATGACTTGCAGCTTCCCCCCTCTCCAGCCCGCTGGTGGAGGTGTTCCTGAGGAGGAAAATGCCAAAAGGTCCCCTCAGAGATGCTGTCACTGAGCCCTTCAAGTTCAGGGAGGAACTGTCTGAAAGTCCTTTGCTTGTTTTTGTCACGATGGTAAAAATCAGTAGTAAACTGGACCAAGTTTGGGGGAGGCATTAAAGCAAATTCATGGATAAATGCCTGAAATGCACATTTATTTACACCTGTGTTTTGTTTCAGAATCTTGGACTTTAAGACCATCTGTTTTATAATCAGGGAACCCACAGAATTATAAAACAAAAATTCAGAAATGACTAGAATGTTATTAGAAGCCCCTCTGATTTTCCTCCACAGCAGGTTTTAGAGAATTTGGGAGTGGCAGAGTGTGATTGTCATAGGTGCTGCAGAACTGTGGGTGAGGTGTGAGTTTGTGTAAATGACTGTGAAGTTCTTGAAACATCAGTGAGTTATGGTATGGAGAGCCAGTGAGCGTGGGGGAGACTTCCCAGGAAGGCGTGCAGCTGGCTTCCCAGAGCCAAGACGGGTGCCCCAGGCTCAACCCCTAGGTAAGGTTGTGACGCAGGAGATGGAATTTTTGGGGTTCATCTGACCAGCGAATTAGGAAAGAAGCCAGCAAACACGGCTGTGCTCTCCATGGATTGTTTTGGGGATTCTGCATAACAAAGATAATATTGGGGTCATAAATTGCAGATTGTAAGGGCTGGCTCCAGGGACCTTCTCCGACAAGATGCTTTTGTAGGCACTGCAGAGAGGATACCCTGATGCTCTCCCTCTCCAGAGGCTGCGGTGTTAGGGAGTTGAGCTGATGGTTTGGTGTTGAAGGGCTGTACACTTTCAGAAAGTGCACCCAGTCCATAGTAACCCTGATTTGAACTTTGGATGTCCTAAGCTTTGCAGTGTCCACTTTGGGGTAATTAGATGGTCAGTCATGGAAAACGCCTTCTGTCTGTAGCCTAAAGAGGAGGCCTCAGGCTGCGAAGATACTCCTGGCACCTTATTAACACTCTTCGTTAAGGATGAGCTTTCTCATGGAATCATCTGGATAAGAATTGTAAATACTAAAGCTGTTTTGTTGGTAGCAAGACTCAAAGTGTTATTTGCTTAGAGTAAGTTAAGAACTTGCTGATTCATGTACAGTACTTGGTTCTTGAAAATCATCATCTGCTTGTTTTCAAACAGATCGCTTGAGTGTTCTGAGTGCCTCGTCTCGCACACCGCCCTTTGGTAACACTGGGCGCCCGAGGGCCCCGGCCTCAAGCTCTGGGGGAAGCAGGTTTCTGCATCAGGGAATCTCAACTCACACTGAAGGGAATTTAAAAAGTTCCTTTTTTTTTTTTTTAAAGATATATTTATTTATGTATACAAGAGCTGGGGTACAGGCCAGAGGTGTGTGTGTGGGGGGCTGAGAGGATTCACCAGAAACAGAGCGGGGAGCAGAACAGGCTGATAGACTGAAATCCACTGCTGAGGGGAGCAGCGGACGAGTCAGGAGAGGTCTGCTGCACCATGTGAGTAGCTCCCTGTCCGGGGATTGAACTCATGCTGCAGAGGCTGCGCACAGCTTCATAGGTTGTGTCTTGAGCCCTTGCGCCACCAGGGAGGGCCCAAATTTTAAAAATTCTTTGTTGGAATTACAGCTTGTCTTAGAGAAGTTAACTTTTTTACTTCTAACCTCTTTACTCCTAACTTAGGTTTGGAAAAATGGCCAAAAGAATTGCTGAGAAGGAATTGACAGATAGAAATTGGGATCAAGAAGACGAAGCAGAAGAGGTAAGAATCCTTTCCCTAAGGATGATTTCCTGCTGCGTAATAGGTGTAAGTTCCTAGGGGGCTTCCTTGGGAAAAACGTGTTAAAGTTAAAAGACCTTTTTTTTTTTTTAAATATTTATTTATTTACTCATACAAGCACTGGGTACAGTCAGAAGCACGGGAGGGTGAGAGAATTCACCAGAGCCAGAGCAGGGAGCAGAGCAGGCAGAAGGACCGAAGGACACTGCTGAGGGGAGCAGCGGGCGGCAGGAGAGGTCTGCGCGCCATGCGGGACCCTCCTCCAGTGGCCGGGGAGCAGCCGGGGATCGAACTGGCGCTGCAGAGGCTGCGGGCAGCTTCGCAGCCCAGCGCTCAACCGTTGCACCACCAGGCGAGGCCCTAAAAGACCTTTTTGAGAACATTCTAGCGGAAACTGGTGGGATTTCTTAGGACCTGCACTTCACATGTAGGAAGGTACTCATTCTCATAAGGGGTGCTTTTCTGCCGGAAGTGCCCATTGCCTGAGGATTCTCCGCGGGAGCCCCTCCTCCCGAATCCCAGGGCGTGCAGCATTCTCAGCCCCATGGCATCAGTCATAACTGGAAGGGAACGGAGCAATGGGTCGTAAACCTGGTGCGTCTGGAAAGCCGCATGCCACCTCCACTCGAGCCTGCGTGGCTGTCATTTTCCATTTCATAAGATTGAGGTCACGTCCCTTCCTCCGGCGCTCTCGGAGGTGTGCTTTATTTCCTATTTTATAAATCGGAGACCCCCAACAATTGCATTAATAGAAGTAGACATTAGACTTCTATTAATTTTATTTTCTAACAAAAATAAAGAAGAATGATCTTCCCTGAGGAAATCTTTTAAATATTCTCTTGGAAAGAACAGAACACAGCTGCATTTCTAGTGCCTCATTAGCAGTTGGAGATCCTGGGTCAGTTCGTTAGCAAAATCTATAACCAAGTTAGTCTTTCAAGTTAACAGGAGAGAGCTAAATTAAGAGGAAAATGAAGGCAGCTACAGAAGTGTTTCCAAGCTTCTGCTTAGATTGTTGTCTTCCTTCTAAATCTGTTTTCCTTTACAAATATGTCCAGGCCTGATGTGTCTGGGGAAACCTGAATCACGAGTATGCTAATATTTGGGCTGGGCTTTCACCTTTGTGACTGAACTGGCGCTCCTTAACCAAGCCACGCACAGACAGATGCTGGGCCACTGAGGTGTAGACTCCCACGTGACGCTTTGCTTCAACAAATATTTCAAGGAACTTGTGTTTGTAGAGCTTCTGATGGGATGAGTGTGGAAGAACTTTGCAGACTACCTTGGGGGCAAGTGTAGCCAGCTGGTTCCTTCTTTAGGGGTAGCGATGCCTTCAAGGTCAGCCTTTGAAATAGCTATACACGAGAGACTTTTTACAGAAAAATACCTTTTGCCAGCACTAAAGGGTAAAAGAAGGCTTGTGGTCATGCCAGAGCCCTTCGGCAGCTTCCCCACGTGGCCTCTGTGTGTTGGGTGTGCTGGGAGAGCCGCACCTCTGGCAGTGCCACTGGGAGGCCTGGGCTCCTCACTGACTTTTTTTTTTTAAAGATTTATTTATTTATGCATACAAGAGCTGGTGTACAGGCCAGAGGTGTGGGGGGTGAGAGGATTCACCAGAGACAGAGTGGGGAACAGAACAGACAGACTGACAAAATACACTGCTGAGGGGAGCAGTGGGCGAGACAGGAGAGGTCTGCTGCACCATGTGGGTATCTCCCTGACCGGCTGGGAATTGAACCTGTGCTGCAGAGGCTGTGGACAGCTTCACAGCGCTGCGCTCAACCGCTGGTCCACCGGGGAGGCAAAATGCATGTTTGTTTTAAATTTTTCTAGTATCTTTGAATATATTAGAAGAATTGGTTCTGAATAGTTTTTGCACCAGAGTTTTTAAGTTTTTGTAAAACTTTTCATGCACTCTTTAGATTGTGACTCAAAGCCTGGCATTGTAAATTCTGGAAGATTTCTAATTCACTTAAAACTGGGACTGGAATTCACACGATAGTAAACACGGACTGGATGTTAGTGTGCCCTCTGGCAGTTGTGTTGCTGTCTTAGCGATGCTTTCAAGCCAGCAGGTACTAGTTAAGTTTGTCTGGTCTGGCTTCATCTCAGCGTTCATACTGCTGTTTCATTTGCAGGTGGGAACATTCTCGGTGGCCAGCGAGGAAGTCCTGAGGAACAGAGCCATCAAGAAGGCGAAGCGCAGGAATGTGGGGTTTGAGGTGCGTGTCATCCTGTCGCTTTTGCTGCTAAGGGCCGCGGTGCACGTCTCCTCAGATCAGTTGGTGCTTTTTTTATACATTCCCCCCACTTGCTGTAACTGGGAGGTAGGAAAATTCGATCTGGGCCTTGAAAGGGAGCTTACCCCTTGCAGAAATACAGACACATCCGAGGTGGGTGGTCATGCAAAGGGCACGGCAGGGAGAGGGATCCAGAAGGCAAGGGGAGGGGTGCCGCGCGTGCCCTGTCAGCACCTGGAGAGAAACAGAAGTGCAGCATGGGGGAAGAGGTAGAGGGCGCTTAGGTGTTTGAGCCCAAATGAGTATCTTTTTTTTTTTTTTTTTAAGATTTATTTATTTATGTATACAATCACTGGGCACAGTCAGAAGCGCGGGAGGGTGAGAGGATTCACCAGAGCCAGAGCGGGGAGCAGAGCAGGCAGAAGGACCGAAGGACACTGCTGAGGGGAGCAGCGGGCGGCAGGAGAGGTCTGCGCGCCCTGTGGGACCCTCCTCAGGTGGCCGGGGAGCAGCCGGGGATTGAACCGGCGCTGCAGAGGCTGCGGGCAGCTTCGCAACCCAGCGCTCAACCGCTGCGCCACCCAGGAGGCCCCCCAAACAAGTATCTTCATCCACCTTTCACTCTTGTTTTTCTAAGTGTCTCGCTTTATTTTTATTTTTTTATTTTAATTTTTTTTAAAGATTTATTTTTATATAAGAACTGGGGTACAGGCCAGAGATGTGGGGTGTGAGAGGATTCACCAGAGACAGAGCAGGGAACAGAACAAGCAGAAAGACTGAAATCCACTGCTGAGGGGAGCAGCCGGCAAGACAGGAGAGGTCTGCTGCGCCATGTGGGTTTCTCGCTGGCCGGCTGGGGATCAAACTCGTGCTGCAGAGGCTGCGGATTGCTTCATAGTGCGTTGCTTAACCCCGTGTGCCACCAGGGAGGCCCAAATTTTTGTGTTTTTTTAACTGCAATAGTAGACTATCTGAGCCATTTAGTAAAGATTGGGTTTTTTGTTATTTTCTTGTGAGGTCATGATTATGGTTCATTTACGTGGGAACTAAAGACTCACGTGCTCTCTCCACGTTCTGAGCACCTGTTCCGTGGGGTATTTCCAACATTCTTTAGAGCCTGCCTTGACCTATGGTCTGAGGAGCAGGGCACCCCTCTGCTGTGGTGTATTTCTGAATGAAGTAAAACATCTTACAGAAATTGTAGTGGCTTTAGGAAAAATACTGTAAATCAAGGAGCCTTTCTTCAAAAGTTCCCGGGCAGAGTGCTGCTGCAGACTTCCGTCAGGACCGCCAGAGGCTTTGGGCTCCTCCTTAGAGAGGTGTGCGCGCCATCTCAGGGAAGGGCAACTCGAGAGACCATGCTAGAGAAGGCGAGGGAATAGAGGAAAAAATGGGTTTCTCGGCTAAGAGAAAGTCTAGCTTGAGACTGTCAGCTTCGCCCGTCCAGCAAGCTGAGTGCCGCCAAAAGTGACGTCCTGGGAACTTACAGGTGAGAGTTTCAGGTAAATGGTCGCATGCATGCGCTGACCTGCTGAACTCCGCTGGGCCCCGAGGCGCAGGCCTCTAGCTGAGCCCCTGTGCAGTCTCCTTGGGGCGCGTGGTTGGAGACCATGTTTCCTGTGATTCTCAGGCTGGAGGGTAGACACAGGAATTATTGCTTTTTTAGCTCTTGTATCTTAAATATGGTTTAAAAATCTTTCACTGTAATTATGACTATCCCAGCTATTTCAAGGGCAACTTTGGATGGCAGAGCTGTCGTTAGGAGTAAAATCTTACCTCGTCTCCTGTTTCTGCTTGTTCTGGCTGCACAGAGACGCCAGGTGCTGTGTCACCGCGGTCTTGCTTGTTGGGTCTGGCGCTCTCTGATGCGAGTTCTCTCTTCCCTTTCAGTCTGATGGTGGAGGGGCCTTTAAAGGTTTTAAAGGTTTGGTGGTGCCTTCTGGAGGAGGAGGATTTTCGGGGTTTGGCAGTGGTGCCGGAGGGAAGCCTTTGGAAGGACTGGCGAATGGAAATAGCATCACAGGCACCCCTCCGTTCTCCAGCACCAGGGCAGCGCCCGAATCCAAGGCAGCCTTTGGTAAGTAGGTGCCCCTTTGTGTTTGTGTAAAGATAATGTATGAAAAAGAACTTTGCAGAGGTGTTTTTCTTCGATGTAATTCTGGTCCTGGGACTAACTGAGCAAAAACAGTAGCTGTGGCACGAGCGGGCACGAGGGCAAGCTGGGCTGTCGCAGAGGATGTGAGCACAGCCCGGGCTTCTGTGCCAAGTAGAGCCACATTTTCTTTTCTGCTTTGCCTGTCACCAGCTCTGCCCATTTAGTAAAGTTCCTTAACCTCCAGGTCTCCAAACCTTTCGCTCTGAAAGGAGAATGACAGGAGGAAAGGAAGTGCATGGCAACCCCCCATGAAGGTGCCTTCTGTGCACATGCCCTGGGGCTTAGGCACCCTCCGGCCGGCCCAGGCCGAAGGTGCGGCTGCGGTTTGCAGGGAGTTAGTCAGGGCCTGGGCTCAGAGACAATGGGCTCATGGGCTAAAACGTGTGGTTCCCAGAGTGATCCTGGCTGGTTGGCTTGTGTGATGCTTGTTATTCTAGAAGCACGCACTGTCCCACTTTTAATTAGGCAGAATAGTCGGGGATATTAAGATGCACTTTCTGGGAATAGTTGACTACACCGGTGAACGTCCGTCCCTGCGACCTCGGGGACTGGGTTGATTTATGCTGATGTGACATTTTGACATCCTGTGTGAAAAGGGCAGCCTTTCGAAGGAAAAGATTATTTTAATATTGTAAAGGTTTCATGCAAACCTAACAGAGACTGTTCTCGTATGTCAGTGTTAGACGTGCCCGGGCTCCTGCCAGGACACAACACAGAAGGCAGGAGAGGAGAACGACGGCTGAGTAAATGCTGCATTCTGGTAAACTCTACAACTGCTTTCCTCTAGCAGCCGTGGCCACAAACGGCCCTGCCTCCTCTGCTGACCAGGCCTCAAGTCCCGAGACAAACGGCAGCACCCCGCAGCCCTGCTCCTCTGCCCCGAGCGCGGCCCCACGTGGCGGCGCCTACCACAAGCAGCTGGCCGCCCTCAACCGCGCCGTCCGCGACTGGATCGTGAAGCACGTGGACACGAACCCGCTGTGCGACCTCACGCCCGTCTTCCGGGACTACGAGAGGCACCTGGCGGGCATTGAGCAGCAGCGCGGGAGCAGCGAGCGCAGCGCAGGCCGGACGTCGGCTGAAGCACCGTCCCCCGCCCTGTTTGCCTCGGCAAAGCCACAGCAAGAGTCAGCGTTTTTGTTCCACGGCAGTAAGACTGAAGAGGCGTCGGAAAAGAAGACGGAGGCCGAGTCCGGAGAGAAAGCGGACGCGCCCCTGGCAGCGGCGAGCGCCACGTTCAGTTTCGGCAAGAAGGTCGACAGCGCCGTGCTGGGCTCGCTGAGCTCCAGCCCCCTGACTGGATTTTCATTTTCTTCTGGAAATTCCGGTTTATTTGGCAAAGATGCTACCCAGAGTAAAGCAGCTTCTTCGCCATTTTCCACTAAACCACTGGAGAACCAAGCAGAAGGCAGCAGTGAGTGCCAAGGTAAATCTAGAGTGTGCCCTTGTCGGGCCGTTTTTGGTGTCCGTGAGTTTTGTGTTTAGTGGCGAACGCTTGTGACGCAGGCGGCCTGAGCCGGCGTGGCCCCTGACTGCCTGCGCGTGATCCGCTCAAAGCTGAGGCCCTTCTTGGAGTTTCAGGATGGAGACAGATCTGTTTGTGGGGTTGTTAAAGATTAAGAACGTGAAATTTAAGAATAGAGGCATCTGGCCCAGCGACTTTGAAAAATGGCAGATGTGCGTTTACACGTGCTGTAGTTAAAGGGGCTGATGGGCTCGCGTTTCTGGAAATTTTCATTTTATTGAGAAAGTTCCACACACGAATGGCAGCGCTCATGAGCGCCCCTCCTCCGGCCTGGCCGTCCCCAGCAGCTGTGGCCTGAAGCTGCTCTCTGGGGAATCAGTTGGTGGCGCTCCTGAAAACAGACCTGCTCCAGGGCCTGCCCCTGCTGAGCATGTGGGGGAGGGGCTCAGGCACGCCCCAGTGGGTGCCCTGGCTGCCCCGCAGATAAACCTGCAGGTTTTCATCGCCGTGGGCAGCAAACTGACAGTCTTCCCAGGGCTGTGGATTGCACCTGCCTTTCCAGAAGTTTCTGTAGTGGTTAGCATCAGCGCCCCAAGATCCTGGCACTTAGCCCAGTCCACAGTTGTTCTTAGCTCTCTGGAAAGGGGGTGTCATCACCCCTCTTCATCACACGTTGTGGACGAATGTCTGCAGACAGTTGGAAGCAGCTGAAAGTGCCCTTAGGGAGGCTTTGACAGCTCCTGGAGAGAGAAAACTGCAGTTGCCAGCTTGCCTCGGAATGATTTGTTTTTCTTCCTAGAACTAAAACTTCCATTATGATTCTGCCTTGCTCTGCCTTCCAGTGTGTCATCAGGCAAGGGCCCTCCAGACAAAGCACCTTCTCTCCTCTCTGCCCGCAGGGACAGGTGAGCGCCTGGCCGCTCTGTCCTGGCCCGGGGTAGTCAGGCAGTCGCGGGCGGACCGTGGGCGGCGTCACTGCTGGTGTGTCCCCCCCCCCCCCCGAGGCGGGGTCACGGCGCTTCTGAGGGGCTCCTCCACCGTGGCGGCACCGTCCTTGTGAGCTTAGCCCGGGTGTCCGGGGGGTTTCTTTTTAAAATCCGACGAGAGTCGGGCACCCCGGCTGGGAAACCGGCCTCGCCCCGCCCCTTCTGCACGTTTAAAGCTTGTGGCGCGACGTGTCTGAGTGCAGGTCTCCTTAGAGTCACTTTCTAAACTAGTGAGTTTTGTGCAACTGCCTTTCTCTTCAGGATTGTTAATTTGCGTCTTAAGAGCGTCTCCCCATGTCAGGGCGCTGGCTCCAAGGGGCGCTGGCTCCAGGAGCTCCCGGGCTGACGGCGCGGCTTCGGAGCGAGTGCCCGGCGGCAGCAGCTCAGCAATTTCCCACCTTTGGCCACTGCGGGTGCTGCTCTGTGGCTGGGTGTGGGCGTGACCCCGACTTTTGAGGAAGGGGTGCTGAAGGGTGTCGGAAGAGACTCATTTCCTAGTGGGTGTCTGTTGCTGACTGGTCCCCGGGATTGCGGCCTGCCCTCTGGAGCCTGAGCCCGCGCTGTTACCTCAGGACGTGCACATTCGCCTCTGTTTCAGAGAAGACGCGTAGACCTGTGGGGAGCTTCTGTTTTCCACAAACCAGTTATGGTCTAGTGGGCGTCTCCCCTCGCCCGCGCACGGCTGGCAGTGTGCGCTCCGCTTCCCGAGGCCTGTGGGTCAAGGCGTGGGGTGCCGGCAGGCCTCTCACCCACTCCCCCCGAGACCTCACTGAGTCTGTTTCCATGAAAGGTGGAGAGGAAGGCGAGAGCGACGAGCCGCCCAAGGTAGTGGTCACTGAAGTGAAAGAAGATGATGCTTTTTACTCCAAAAAGTGAGTAGTGCGGGACCCTGCTCTCGGGTGTGGGAGGAAGCTTCTGGCTGGACCACGGGCGACTCCCCACAGAATGGACTGAGCGTCCTGGGTTGCAGCCAGGTCGTGCCTCTTTTTTTTTTTTTTTTAAGATTTATTTATTTATGCAGACAAGAGCTGGGGTACAGGCCAGAGGTGATGGGGGTGTTGTTGAGAGGATTCACCAGAGACAGAGTGGGGAGCAGAACAGGCAGATTGCGAAATCCACTGCTGAGGGGAGCAGCGGGGAGACAGGAGAGTTCTGCTGCGCTCTGTGGGTAGCAGCTCCCTGGCCCGGGATCAAATTCGTGCTGTAGAAGCTGCGGACAGCTCCCTCCGTAGGTTGTGTCTTAACCCCTGTGCCACCAGGGAGGCCCCCCATGCCTTTTTGAACTGTGGCAGGGAAAACATCTGGGCCTAGTACTTAAATCATCTATTCTAGAAATTTCCTGCTGGTCATATACTGCTCTTTTCTGTTCACTCTTTCCTTTTTAAGGCAGTGCTCGACAGGTTTCCTGGGATCCTCGCCTTCCTGTCCAGTCTCCTGTTAGGTCTGTTCCCCGTGTCCCCTGCTTTTCCAGCCCCCACCCAAAATAAGTCACTGCTGGCAGCTTCGGTTTCATTTCTGCTCTTAATCTCTGACCCCTTCCTCTAGATCTTTCCCACCCACTAACTTGTGCGCTCCCTCCTGCTGCTGCAGTGCCCCCATGACAGCTGTTGGGCTCTGTGGTTGTGAGTGAGCCGCTGCTTTCAGAAGAAAGTGGAGGGAAACCCTGGGCGGCCCATCTCCCTCAGTGGAGTGAAATCAGCACCAGGTTCAGGGTTTTCCTAACAGATCCCCAGAGCCTGTGGGGTCCTGAGGGTTGTTTTTGAAGAGTCCAGTAATTCCTTTTGCTTGTGTTAAAATTTAGTTACCAAGATAACTCACAGCGGCCACCCTGGCTTGCCGCGTGTTTAGTGATAACAGGGAGCAGGCGTTGGTTGTCATTTGCTTCACAGTCACCGCAGCAGGGGCTTGGCTGACATCAGTGACTGGTCAGGTCCTGTCTGAGAATGTTTTCTGGATTTATTTTCAACAGCGTGGGCGAGCGCAGGCGTCCCGGAAAGAGTTCAGAAATAAGCAGAAAAAGGGGCAGGGGCGTGGGGGCTGCATTTGTTCTTGTTTTTAAAAGGTCAGGGTCGGCTCCCGAGAGCTCGGGACCCAGGAGAGGTGGGCGGGCTGGCCCTGAACTTGACCGACTCTGAGAAAAGTGAGTTTCAAAAAGTAGTATTTATTTATTTATTTTGAAGATTGGTCCAGAGCCACTCTTTGTGATTTAAAGAAGTAGGGAGGGGGCTGAGGGTGTGTAACTGCATTTTCCTGCTTGGCTTGGGCCCAGACCTGGCCTCCGTCAGCTCAGGACCCGCCCTGACACGTGCCTGCTCTCGTTTCACACAGGTTTTTCCTCCCGGATGCCAACAAGTCAAGGTCAGAAAACTGACTTGATTTGTCATGGAGGCTCTGCTCACGCCCATTGCTTCTCTCCACAGGTGTAAACTATTTTACAAGAAAGACAACGAATTTAAAGAGAAGGGCGTGGGGACTCTGCACTTAAAACCCACAGCGAGTCAGAAGACGCAGCTCTTGGTGCGGGCGGACACCAATTTGGGTGTGTACACGGTGCCCGTAGCTGCGTGGTAGACAGGTGCTTGGCCTTCTGGCTTCAGTGGGCGGGATTTTCAGGTATAGGGATGTTTTCATGTCGGCCAAACACATCCCATCCTTCCCAATCACAGCTTTAGCGGAGCACCTACCTGAGAAGTCGCAGGTGTGTGAAAAGCGATCACCGAGAAGTAGCCCGCACGGTGCTCGTCTTCCTGGGCGCCGGCGGGGTGGCTGGGATGCCCCGTGTGCACCGGGAGGTTTAATAAGCACGCAAGGAAACGGGTCATTTGAAGGAATCCTTTCCGGAGCAGAGGATCGTTACATGTTGCTCTCCACCCTGCGCCCACCCCTGGCTTGACCCTTCAGAGGGCCCGCCGAAGGAGGGCGGCGCCTGCAGGCCGGGAGACAATGGCCAGTGGTGGCGGCCGCACCAGGCGGTTTCACAGAAAGAAGCTTGTGGGGCTTTGCCATGAGCCTGGCTTGTGGGACAACATGCCAGGGAGCGTGCCGGCCTCGAGGGGTGCGGGCTCTCTCTGGCTGGTGCGCCTCGCAATCACATGGGGAAGGCTTCGGGGCGTGGCCGCGTTCTCCCTGCAAGGGCGCCCGGTGGAAGGCGCTGCCCCTGGTGGGGCGTGGGGTGGCTGGAGGAGGGGCAGGGCAGTCCCGCCATGGCGTGGCCGAGCCCAGAAAGCGCCAGCAGCCTCGCTGGCCTTGGGGACACCACGCCGAGGTGCGTGTAGGGACCCGGCCCAGCCCGCCGAGTGCAGGTGGCGTCGGCACTGAGCATTGAGATGCTGACGCTGTCGTGGCTGACTTCCTCCCCTCTGCCCGCATGCAGGCAACATCCTGCTGAACGTCCTGATCCCCCCCAACATGCCGTGCACCCGGACGGGGAAGAACAACGTGCTGATCGTCTGCGTCCCCAACCCGCCGGTGGACGAGAGGAACGCCACCGCCCCGGCCGCCATGCTCATCCGGGTGCGCACCGCCGAGGACGCGGACGAGCTGCACAGGGCCTTGCTGGAAAGGAAGGACGCCTGACGCGCCAGCCCGCCCGAGGCCTGGCGGCGCTTCTCTTCCCCTGGCACCCCAAGAACAGCTAGCTAGCTGGGCGCTTCTGTGAGGACGAGTAACATGCCAATAAAACCTTTACTGCTAAGTGTCAGGAAATTGTATTCTCTCTTCTTAAGAACGCCCATGTGTGAAATACATTTGAATGAACCTTTGCGGAAGATTTCTCATGCTCCTTTCATTAAGCCGAGCGCAAGCGGTTTCCTGATGGACTCGAGTCAGAGTATCGAGCAGGTTTCCCCAAGGCTTCTCCCGCCAGGCCGGGCCGCCCCGCAGGGCTCGCCCACAGCCACACCTCGTGGAGGAAGCTCGCCCGGGATCTTCGCCACCAGGCGTGAGCAGCACGCCCCTCCGGACCACCGCCTGGTCGGGACAAAAGTGCTTCCATTGCTGCCGCTGGTGGTTGACAGCCGGGCCGCAGGCGGCAGGTCTCGCCTCGTGCAGACGCCGGCCTTGGAGCCGCTCGGGACCTGCGTTTGATTCTAAACAAGGGAGCAGCTTGTTCTTGGGTGTTGCAGTCTAATTCTTGAGGTGCTGTTCCTTCTGTCTCCCCACAGACACGGGTGGAGGGAGATGGCCCAGAACAGGTTAAAAAGCACAAATTTGGTAGTTTACAGGTTGTAGACCCCGGACCGCAAACCTGCATGAAAACGGAAGTCGGCTCAGCCTTTCTCCAGAGGACAGACGTGGCTCCCCCGGTGACCTGGACCCGCGGACCTGCAGCTGGCTGCTGAGGCGGAGCGGGAGCCCCGGCGACATGGCCGCGCGGACAGATGCCAGCACGCGGGAGGTCGCGGAGGAGGCGTGGCGTTGCCTTTACCTCAGCCAGTAGCGCGCGCTGCACTTGATGCTGCAATTGCCATTTTTTTTAAAGAATGTTCAGTGCGTTTGCATGGCGGGGGCCGCGCCCCTGCACAGCACACCCCTCACCTCGCCTCAGCCTGGACGCACGGCCACGTGTCCGCTCTGGTTCCTCCGCTCCCCTGAGCCCTGCCCGGCCAGAGGCCCAGCGCCTCCCCGGGGTCGCTGTATAGCCGCATCCTCGGAGCATCATGTCTCAGAAGAGCCGTCGCCAACTACTCTCATGACACAGCACGGTTGCTTTTTAAAAAAAGTACAGCGTTAGACGGACAGGAGGGGGAGGCAGCTTTATGTTAACTCGGGAATTCCTTACTAAAAGGTGGTTCGGCCTGGATTTACCACACGGCTCCTTGGGTGCCCTCCCGGCCGCGCCAGCGGACCCGGCCCGTGTGGCTGGCAGATCCCTCAGGGGCGACTTCCGGTGTGGGCAGAGCCCCAGCTGCACCGTGAGCTGGCAGGAAGCGGCAGTTATTTTTGCATTTTCTCTCACGCTGAGAGGGTCCGTCAGTCTGTTCCAGGTGAGTGTGTGGTGGTGGCCGCCCCCGGGCCCTGCCCTGGGGTTTACCCAGCCGAGGAAGAGGAAGGGCGGGCTCCGTCTGCTGTGGCACAGCCCCGGGGGCGCGACTGTCCCCATGCCTCTTCCTCTGCTCTCATGTGTGCGTGTGGGAGGGGCGGGGTCCCCTGAGGCCAGGGAGGGGCCCGACTGGCCAGGCCGCCTTCTGCGCTGAGTCTCTTCAGCTGGTCGCACACGCGGCTTCCTTTTCCGTAACATTCCCAGACTCGCCGTGGCGGTGAGAACTGCAGGGAAACCCCGCCGAGCGGAATGTGGTATTTTCTTAACATCACTTCTGTGTTTTAGGAACCCGGTGGTGGTGAACCTCGGTTATGGAAAAGCCTAGGCTGGGATTTCACTGTCGCGTGTCAACCCTCCTATGTCCCGGGGGAGGGTCCTTGGCCCGAGGGGCCTCGCGCCCGCCACCGCCCGAATTCTGCCTCATGGGTTTAGTTTTATTTTTAACAAAATAATAGAAATTAGACTTGAAAATGTTTCACGTGGGCTGCACGCTTCAGTTGGAGACCGTGAGGTGTGCCAGGGCGGGGCCTGGGCCGCCGCGTGTCTCCCTCCAAACCCGACGGGGTCTGGTCAGCCCCGACAGACCGAGTGCCCCAGTGGCCTTCTGGAGGCGGGCGTGGCCCCTCGCGGCGGGAGCTGCTCGCCTCAGAGCGTGTGCCCTGTTTTTAAAGCCGTTTCGATGATGTTTCCACGGAAGGACAAGTCTGGACGGACCGATCTTCTTCCCGAGGGCCACTGTTTCACATTTCCATTTTAAATCCTATTTTTGATATGCTGCATGCCAAATGACCCGCCTGCTCTGGGGAGACAGACCTCTACCCCGCCGGGTTAGGGTTCGGAGCAGGCCTTCTCCGAGCTCCCCGGGGCAGCGGCCGCTTTTCCTCCACCCTGAAGCAGCGCTGCGGTCCTGGCCCCACGGGGGGAAGGTGTGGGCTCGGCGCCCCCTGGCCGTCCATGGGTACATCGTTTGCTTTCTACTTTAAACAGGAGAGTGTTTTCTGAAACTGAAATACTTGAATTACCAGACAATGCCCCTTCAGTCTGTGATCCCTCTTGGCCCCAGGACGTGAGGATCCACGAAATGTGAATAAATGGAAAGTAAAGGAAACCGGGCGTTGTTCCTCCGTGAGGCGCCTGCCTCGACTCCCGCCCCGCAGACCCAGGGGCGCCTCCGGGAAGAGGTGCCCGATGCTGCTTCCCACCGCGCGGGCGCGACCAGGCAGGCTGCCCGGCCTCTGGGGAGCCGCCTCAGGCCCGCAGGGGCTCCAGGCCCGTTTCCCCAAGAGGTGGGGTGGGGCTTCCCCTTGCGGTAAGTTGGGGGCGCTGGGGCGTGTGCCCGGCGTCTGCCTCAGCCAAAGCTGAACCCTCCAGGGACGTTTTGAAACTGGAGGACTGACAAAACTGGTTATGACCTCGGTTGGCCGCACCCGAGAGCCGCTGCTGGGGCACTGGGCAGGCCAGGCGCAATACTGCAAAGGCCAAGTCGCCCGCCCCGAGCCCACAGCAGCTGGCGGGGACGGGAGGGGAGAGGGAGACGTCGGGGGCACCGGCCAGCTGGCCCGGGTCCTCCTGGGGGAGCAGCACAGCACCCAGCCCGCCCTGCCAGCCCAGGGCCCTGGGTTGGGGACACGGCGTGTTTCCTGCTGCCTCTTCTCGAGATACGACTCACCCCGGCATTCGCCCCGTTCGAGGGCACAGCTGCTGGAGCCCCCCCGCACCTGCCAGCTGGCGGGCCTCGGGTTCTGGGCCCCCCCAGAACCTTCTAAACAAGTTCACCCAAACAGTCGTGCTCCCTAAGGTCCACGAAGTTACTTCCCACCGAGCAGCCGCCTGTTGGCTCCCAAGATGAGCCCCGGGGGAGGGCCTGGCGAGCTGGCCAGCCCAGCGTCCAACCTCCTCCGGCCTCCCGGCTGTACGGCCTGGAGCCGCCGGTGTGGACGGTGCACACTGGCCGAGCTGCCCCCTCCTCCCGAACTGGGGGGCTTCCCTGTCCAGTCATTGCTTCTGAGTCGAGGCACGAGGGCCATCCAGAGTCCGCCTGGGCCATTAGAAAGGGCTCAAGTGGCGGGGACGGCGGGGCAGCAGGGAGATGGGCTGGCGCCTGCGGGCAGCTCGGGGCGGGACACGCCCCAGACGCCTGTCACTGTTCAGTGACCTGCACCAGTCCCTGCAGTCACCTCACAAGGGGGTCTGGTCTGGGTGACAAGCCCTGCCCTGTGCAGCCCGGCCCAGAGGATGCCGGCTCAGAAGCCCCTGGTGCCCATGCCCTGCCCCAATGACCGTCTCCCTGGGGTGCAGCTGGCAGCGATGCCTCACTGTGCCCCCAGATTTGGGCTCGTGTCCCTCTTGGATCCCTTTGCTCGGTCACTTGTTTAACATCCTGACTCCCTGAAGTTCCTGCCCACCCCCTCGAGACTCACCTGGGGTCCGCCTGGCGGCGCGGCCCGAGCACCCTCGGTGAGCCCACGGGCCTGGGCTCTGGCGGCCCCTCAGATGCGGGCCTGCACCCACGGGGGTCTGCAGGGCCCGGGTGCGACACCCACCTTCCAGAAGGCCAGGCGGCTTGCTGGGGTCGGCCGGGACTCGCGTCCTGACCATACCGGTCCATCTTCCACTCCTGGAGGGCCCTAAGGAGGTGCCCCAGGAAGAGCCTGGGGGAAGGCCCAGCCCAACAGGAAGGCCGAGCGCTGCTGGGGCGAGGGCGGAGCCCAACAAACACAACAATGGAGTCTCCTGACTCCATTTTGGATCTGACCAAGCTGGGCCCCTGCCCGCCAGCGCCCCACGGGCAGCCGGTGTCCAATGGCACCTCAGAAGCAACGTTTGGAAGCTCCGAGGCCCGTCGAAGCGATCACTGGGGGCCAGCGAGGGTCCGCTCGCTCGCCGGCGCGTTGCTGGACCGTGGCACGGGCTCGCGGGGGCTGCGGGGACGCCGCCTCCCACGCAGTCGCCTCCCGCGAGAAAACGGGAGACTCGCGACGCCCGGCGCCAGCTCCGCTTGCAACGCCCCGGCCCGTGGGCGCTCGGCCGCCGCCGCGTGGACAGAGACGCGCCGGCCCGCCCCGCGCGGTCATGCGGGGACGCGTTTTGCAGGAACCACGTTCGTGAAGCCTCAGGACAGTGAAAAAATCTCAACAGGCTCTCCGCAGGGCGCGGGTTCTCACACGGGGTTTATTTGGAACCAGGAAAGACTTGACACCGGAAGGGCGCGGCTCGCACGCAGGAGCAAGGCCCGCCCCCGCCCGTCTGGCCCGGCCGCCCGGCCCTCCCTGAGGAGCTCCAGGCCGGGGTCCACCTACAGAAACGCCACTTGCCTCGGGGTAACAGACAACTCTGACCACACACGCTGCCCACCTCTGCCCGCGCCACCCGGGGCGCCACATGCGCACCCCACGCCCATGGAGTCCGGTGGCTGCTCGCGGGTGGGTGGGCCACGGTCACTCCCGGGTAGGGCCGGGCTCCTCCCGAGGCCATGTCAGTGCCACGTTGGCCCGTGAGAAGAGTCGAGCCACCCGGCGGGCACCCGGCACCCCAGCCCCGTCCCGGGCGCAGGTGCCACGCCGGCCCCCGGGGCCTGTGCTGGGGCCTCCCAGGGCTCTTCCATCCATGCCCGGGGGCCAGATGTTGGCCAGCACCGCGCTGTCGTGTCTCCCAGGGTCACAGTCTCCCAGGGGACAGTTTTTTGGGGAGACGTGCCCCCGGACAGGGGACGAACGTGACGTGGAAAGGGGCTGGGCTGTGGAAGCGCTCGTGAAGCTGAGGCCCAGCTGGTCGCACAGAACGCCGCCTCTGAAGCCGGCTGGCTTGCAACACGCAGTCCTTCGAGAATCCCGACCCGCCACTTAAAGCCTCCCGAGCGGACCTGTCGGGTGTTTGTCCAGTCGGTCACGAGAAGGCTCCCTCTCCCCCGCGGGCTTACAACGGAACACGGCTTCCCTTCCTCCTCGGAGCCCAGCGACTGGCCTGTGGGTCACACACGCAGGCGGCTCCCCGGGGCCCCAGCGAGACTCTGGGCCACACGGGACGCCACGTCCTCCTCGTGCGTCTGGGGCGGCGACGACTCCTCGTTACCGGGATTCCAGACGGCCCTTGGAGGCGCTCACTCGGCCCCGGGGGCCCGAGCCCTGGGGCGCAGCCAGCCTTCCCCGGCCGAGGTCCTCCCTGCTCCGGGGCAACGTTGCTTTAAGACAAAACACGCTTTGGTGTCCAGAGCAGCGCGCTGTGGGCTTTTTCAAAGGTCAAGGGCCAGTCTCCGCGTGAGAAGCAGACGCCGGCCTCGGCGGCCCCGCCTGGACCTGACCGGGGGCTCCCGGAGGACGAGCCACGGGCCTTCCAGGAGAAAACCGCTGCTGCCCAGGGCGGAGCCCCGCGACAACCCTGCTCCGCGCCTTGGCAGCCACTTGCTTCTCGGGAAAACCCAAGCTCGAGCGACCAGTCGACCGCCGGGACCCGCGAAGCTCCGTGCCACTGCGCCTGCCGTCTGGAGTCGGCCCTGGCGGCTCGCTGTGGTCTCGGCAGGTGACTTCACCTCTCCGCGCTGCACCCTCCCCGGGGAGCCCGCCCGAGCCCCCGGCTGCAGAACGTCCGCTTGCGGCTTTGCGAGGCGCGTCGCTAACACCTGCCGCCTCGGGCCGCCGACACCTGCCTGCGGGGACCACGCCTGGCTCCGGGCCCCCAGCCAGCTCAGAGCTCCGCGACTTCTGACTCCGGGGCACCTGCCGGTGCTCCCCACCCCTGAGGACGGGGGGCCCTGCCCACCACGCTGTGAAACCACCTCGCCCGGCCCCAGACGATCCGCCGCGGTGTTCTCCCGAGATCGGAGTCCCAACGCCTGCAGACCCCAGACAACAGGGAGAAGCAGCTCCTGGAAGGAGAGCGGTGTCCAGCCCAACCCCACGGGGCCAGGGGCGGCATCCTGGAAAGAACCCTGGGGCATCTCGCACCCGGGGCCACGCACCGGCCCCCCGCTCTGCTCCACGCCCAGGGAACCGGGCTCAGCCCTGACGCTGCAGCCCGAGACTCAGCAGGGAGGGTGACTCGGCGGAGCCTTGTGCTCCTGGACAGGGGGATGGGGTGGGGCTCCCAGAAGCCTGACACCCGCCTGGCCAGGCTGAGCGGCCTCACCCTGCCCCGCGATCTTGTGCTGGAACCCTGGAGACGTCAGTGAGGTAGGTGGTGTCAGCCCCATCGCACAGGTGGGCAAACCGAGGCAGAATGAAATGCAATAGCTTGCTTTTAATAACAGCGTACAAAATCTGGAGAAAGCCCCAAAGGAGTCCCCTGTTCCGGAGCCCCGTGCCAACCCTTGGGGCGCACAGAATAAAAACACGGAGACCAAGCCCCTCCTCCTCCCCTCTCCCCACACAGGACCGCTACGCCCACAGCGGGAGCCCCTCACACATTCTTGGGGACGTCAAGCAAAACAACACAGCAGCAGAGAGCACTCCCGGGGGGCTGGGAGCCCCGGCTCAGGGGGGACCCTTCATGCAGAGCGAGGCCGCGGGACAGCCACGCACACCGGCCCGCTGGCTGGCGGTGGAGGCCGGTCCCTCCTGGCCTCGGGGTGGCCTCGGAAGCACCGGCGCCCAGGCAGAGGGAGAAAGCCGGGCAACCGCACAGGAGGGTCCGCACTCCCGGCCCGGCCCCCGGAGGCCAGGGTCTGCCTAGACTCCCGCCTCGGGAGGGACTCCCTGCTCCTCCCGCGCGGCTCCCGCGCCCGCCCGCCCCAGGCCCCAGGCGTGCAGTCCCCGTGGCGGCGCGAGCGGGCAGAGCGGGAGGGGCTGGCGGCGCTCTTTGGCTGGAAGCAAAGGCCATTCTGGCGGGAGCGGGGCCTCCGGGACCCTGGGGTGGGGTGAGGTATTCCCAGCCCAGGGCAAAGCATCCAACAGCTGGGGGTTCCCAACCCCCGGGAACCCGTTTCCAACCAATGGTTAACTCGAGGGCGCGTCGGGGCGACGTGGGACATGGAGCTCCTGGGGGCCGGCGAGAGCAGCGGCCTGTCTGCCGGACGCTGCGGGCCCCGCCGCGGCTCCCGCTGCGGTCTTGTCGGCGTGGACGCCGGGGTCAGGAGGGCTGGCACATCCTGGAGAGAGCTGCTCCCCTGCTCCCTCCCCGGCCTCCTGACCCGAGCCGGGGGCGGTGGTGGCGGGCGCGGGCGGGCGCAGAGCCGGGCGAAGAGGCACTTCAGTTTGGGCTGGTGTTGGCGGCGGCCCTGCCCGTGCGGCGGCCCGGCTCCGGCTGCGCTGGGCGTCACAGGAGACCGGTGCGGTGGGCGGGTAGGCACTTGGCAGCGCTCCCAGGGCCGCAGGCGGGCTCCGCGCACGCTAGGTCATCAGGATAGGCTTCTGCCGCACCTCCAGGATGTCTGGGGCAGAGCGGACGGGTCAGCGCTGTGTGGGACGGCGCGTCCACGGGGCCCGGGCCGAGGGACGCACCGGCTCGCGTGCACTTCCCGGGACGCCGTCTGCTCGCCCAGCCCGGGCAGCAGGCCCGCGGCAGCCGCACAGCCGGCCCAGCAGAGTGGGGCAGCCACAGGGCTGGACAGAGCTGGCCTGTCCCAGGGGTCCCCTCGAGGAGCGTGAGCCAACGGGCCGCCACCACGATGCCTCCTGGGGTCTGCGGCCACCCAGGAGGGGCGGGAGGGGCCTGCCAGGTGCAAAGGGGGCCTGTGGAGGCCAGGGCCTCCCCAGGAAGCACCTTGGACGTCTGAAACAGGAAAGCCACGCCATGGACCCCGCCTTTGGGTTCCTGTCTTGAGGGGAACAGGGTGGCGCCCCAAGGGGCCTCGGGCCAGGCCTGCCGCAGAGCCGCGACGGCAGCCTTACCTGTCAAAATCCGGTGCAGCGGCAGAGTGACGTAGGTCAGGTGTGCATAGAGGAGGAAGTTCCCGCCGGCTCTGCTCAGCTTCAGCCAGGACCCGACCAGGGAGCGCCCGGTGCCGGACAGCGACCGCGACCGCAGGTTGGAGGCGTTGTGCAGCTCGGCTGGCGGGGCAGGGCGGTCAGGCCGGCTGGGGGAGCCGCCGCAGAGCACCTGTTCCCGCCCGCCGGCCCCCTGCACAGCCACTGACACCCGCCTGCCACGGGCCCCTCCGCCCACAGCCCGGCCCAGCCCTCCCCAAGCCCCGCCCCGGAGCCCGGCTGCCTGTGAGGCCTGGTTTGCCTCCCGCACCGTCTGTCCATTCCCAGCGGCCGGTCACCGGAAAGGCGAGGCCCAGACGGGAAGGCACCTGCCCCAGCTCTGCGTGAGCTGGCCAGGCGGGTGGGCACTGGCCACCCCAGGGGTCCTGACAAACAGGGCCTCTGCTCCTGGCGTCCCCTCGGCCCCGGCGCCCTGCCTGGTCGTCCATGCTGCGGACACAGGGAGGGAGGCCCCGGGAGACCCCGAGGGACACCCCCAAGGGCTCTGGAGCAAGGGCGAGCCGGCAAAGGGCCCCGCACGGAGGAGAGGCCAGCGGCAGCCAGGCCTCAGGTCAGCGCCCACACCCTGGAGCTGGTGTCTCCCCGGGGGCTTCTCACACCCAGAGGGGGACAGTCGTGCTGTCAGCCCCAGCCCTGCCCACACATCGGGGCTCTCCGCGAAGCCCTAACCCACACGCAGCACCCTCGGGCCGCGGGGCTCGGCCCAGCCAGCGGACCCCGGCACCTGGAGCCGGTCCTCAACGACGGGGACGGGCGGGCGGGCGGGGGAGGCCGCGGGCAGGCCCCGGGCAGGGCCAGGCTCACCTCCGCCGTCGTCCTCGCGGAAGAACTCCTCGCTGTCGTTGGCCGAGTGCGACTTCTTCATCTCCGCGATCCGGTTCCGGGGCACCTTCCTCTTGAGGGACGGGGAGAAGAAGGCGGGCCGGTTGTTCCTCTCGGGGGTGGGGGGCGTGCTGAAGGAGGTCACCTGGAAACAACAGCACAGTCACGGGGGCCCCGGCCTGCTCCGCGCCCGGCCGGCCCGGCCTGTGCTTCTGCGAAGCCGCCCCTGGGCCAGGCGGCACGGAGGGGGGGGGGGAGCATGAGGCATGAGGTTGGGGCCCGCGGAACAGCCTAGTGGCCCGCCCTGCCGAGCAGGGGCCGGCACGGTGGGAGGGGAGGGCAGCCGAGGGTCGAGGGCAAAGCAGGACCGTGGCCACTCGGGCTCCAACCACCAAGCCCCGCGAGCCTTCCCGGCCACGCCCGAGGGCCCCGGACCCCCCGCCTGAGGACAAGGGCGCTGACGCGGGACACCCGGCGGGACGGGGCCGTGCGCGGGCCGTGCCCCCCGTCTCCTGCCTTCCCAGCCGGTCCTCCCCGCGGTCCTCCACCGGCCGACGCCCCCAACCCGCCCGGGGCTTCTGAGAGGCTCGCGCCGCCTCCTCTCTGGCGGCTCCCACACCCGCTCCGGCCGCCAGACGCGGCCCCAGGACAGCCAGGCCGCACCCTGGTCCCTGCCCGCGAGGAGCTCACAGTCTGCCGGGGCACAGACTCGGACAGAGACAACGCAGGCTGCCGGCGCGCGGCGACAGGAAAATGGGGCGCACGGGGCACAGAGGCGCGCGGATGAGGAACAGCAGCACGAGCGCCAGGGAGGGCTTCCCGAGGAGACGGCGCCGGAGCAGGATCTTGAAGGACGAGTAGGAGTTCGCCAGGTGAAGAAGGGGGGGAAGGGCGTTCCAGGCAGCGGGAACTTGGCCCCTCTCCTCCCTCCTCCCCACGCAAACAAGAATCTGAGGAGCCAGGCGAGCGCGGCCGACGCTCCGGGAGCGCCATCAGCCTCCTGGTCAGGCTCCGACATCCAGAGTCCCGGCGGCCGCTGGGCTCCAGACGGTCCTCCCACAAGCCGGGGAAGGTTTTCAAAAGATAAAAAACAAACACCAGAAACCACATACACACAGTCGGCATTTGTCACGCGCTGGCACGGACGGCCCTTCCAGCGCCGCGGACCAGGGAGAAGGACCCGCAGGGGGCAGGGCCGGGCAGTCCCAGGAGGTCAGCGCGGGCCGCGGGCCCAGCCCTTCTCCCCCACGCCCCACCCGGGGCCAGCCCAGGTCTATCTGGCCATCGGCCGGCGAGTGGCTGGCACCGAGGGCGGGTCTGCCCAGCCCGAGCCGGCCCGCCTGCCGCGGACGGACGCCCTGACGGGGCCTGGGCGGACAGCCAGGCCACCGAGGGACCCGGGCTCCGAGCCTTGGCGCTGAGTTCGCAAATACAAACCGCTCTGCTCGGGCGGGTGCGCCTCTAGCCCGTTCTCACAAAACTGGCCCTCGTGTTTCCATCCCGTGCAGACCCGCCGAGCAAGGTGCAGGGGGCACGGCGGGAAGCAAAGTGCTGCCGGGCGCCAGGACACACGTGCTCAGTGGCTCCAGGGGGACTGGAAACCGGCCCTGTTCACGCCCTGGAGCCGCTTCCCCAGCAGATCACCCGAGGGGCGGTGGCTGCCTGGGGGGCCCTCGGGATGCCCCGCAAGGGACCAGGCCTGGCGCTTGAGCCTCCCCACCCGCAGCACCTCTGAGCCGGGAAGTCGAGCGCCGGCAAGAAGACTTCTCCCGGGTCACCAGCGCGGCAGTGCCCAGCGCCAGCCGTGGGGTCTCCCGGGCCCTCCTGACACAGGCGGGGCTGCCCTACCCGGCGCTGAACCCCCTTCCTGCTCAAGCTCGCTGCTCCGAGCGGCCCCGCAGAAGACCCCCGCAGGCTGGCAACCAGGGCTGGGGCTGTCCCTACCTCCCGCCTGCCCCTGGCCCCCCCCCCCCCCCCGCTGCAGAATAAAGGCCCCACACTGCCCTTGACCCCCACCCCGGGGAGGCGGCGGCCTAGAGAGCAGGCTGGGGGCCAGCTCCGCCCAGGAGAGCTGCATGACCGGGCCCACCTTCTCAGGAGCCCCCTTGCCCGTTGACACGCAGGCCACGCGGAGCGCTGGGGGTGGGGGTGTCCCAGGGGCAGGAGGAGCTGGCTCATCACCTGGTCCCTCCCCTGGGCAGGTGTCACATGCCCGTGCCCACCCGGGAGGCCCACCAAGGCAGGGGAACAGCCCTGGTCCCGGCTCGAAGCTGCTGTGTGCCCTCGGGCAGGTCCCCTGCCCTCTCGGAAGCCCGGCCTCTTCCCTGGCGGGGTCGGGGGAAGAGCACCCCCCACCTCACCGGGGGCAGGAGTGCCGGACGGGGAGGACCAGGGAGACACGGGGTGCAGATCCCAGAGACGGGAGGCCCCTCCCCGAGCTCACGCCCTTACCCGCTCGTGCATGGGCGAGGCCGGGCTGGAGTCCTCTGTCCCGCAGGGGGAGGTGTCGCCCGTGGACACGCGGCTCACGGCCATCTCGGCGTGCCCTTTGCCCTGCGGCCCCTTCATGCGCACGAACTCCATGTTGCTGTACTTGTAGAAGCCAAAGGACATCTTCTGCGCCATGCGGGCCGCCACGCTCACCTGGCGGGCACAGACGCGGGTCAGCGCGGGCGGGGCCTCTGCCTGGGGCCTGCAGCGGGCCCGTGGCAGGCGCCCACTCCCCGACGATGCCCCGCGCCCAGCAGCCCGGCCAGGCCGGGGGCAGAGCCCGGGCGGGGCCCCCTCGCCCTCTGGGGAGTGCTTTACTGGGGGCTCGGGCCCCCCAGAGGGCCCGGGAGGGCGGCCCGGCCGCGCTCACCCGGTTGTCATACACCTTCTTGAGCGCCTCGTAGCGGATGGAGCCCTGGAAGATGACGCCCTGGAAGGTGTTGGTTTTGTCGCTGGCCACCAGCTCCACGCACACCATCTCCCCCTCGCCCACCGTCATGTCGCTGAACACCTGGGGGCCAGGAGGAGACGCGCTTGTCAGCTGAGCAGGAGCCACAGGTGCTGCACCCGTACCCCGCGCCCGGGCTGGGCCTGTGGGGGCGCTGCTGGAAAGGCCCGTCTGCAGGCCAGCGCCTTGCAGGTTCCGCCTGGCCCGGCCCCCCCACTCACTCCCGGGACCAGCACAGCTGCGGCTGCCTCACTGCGGGGGGGGCGGGGGGGGCACCGGCAGGGGATGGCTGGGGACAGTGGCTTAGGCCTGGGGAGCTGGTGTGCAGGACAGCCCGGCCCCCTTGTCGAATCCCCCTCACTGACGGGGGGCACCCAGCCCCACTGCTGCTCCGAGCTGCGCTGGAGGGCGCGCAGGCACAGCCCGGGGCAAAGACAGGGCGCCCGATGCTGGACCACAGCCTGCAGGGCCAGCATCTGGCCACCTGCTGGAGTCACCGCTCCGGGGGCTGTGGGCACGCACAGGCTGCACCACCTCAGCTGTGCGAGACTGCAGAGCACGTAACCCGAGCCTGAGGGGCACCGGGACACCCTCAAACCCAGGAGAGACCCTAGAACACACAGCCTCCGTGAGTGCTGCGGCCCCGGCCCCCGACCGCCTCTACATGGGCAAGAGCTCCTCTCCGGGCCTCGGCGGAGGGGGCGGGGCGGGGCGGTCAGCAGGATGCAGGCGGCCCCCCGCCTTGCCCTCACCCACTTTCCCCAGTAAGCCTCCTGCCGCCTGGGTCTCCGTCTTCCCTGCCTGGGACGAGGTCTCCGGTCACTCCCGGGGAGGCCGGGCTGGGCTGGGCACCCTCTGCGGTCGCACGCCGGGTTTACGAGGCGTCTCCACCGCGAGCGGCTCTGATCCCTGCCCGCCCCAGGGGACAGGACACACGCTCACACCCGCGCGTCTCAAGGGCGAGAGACTGCGGTGCAGAGTGGGGTGCGCCCACTTGCCCCGACTCGCGAGCGCGAAGCCCCCGGAGGACTGGGCCGCGCTCGCTGTGGGCCCGGGGGGGTGGGGGGGGCGGAAGGGCGGGCGGGGAGCGCTGCCGGGGCGCCCCGCTCACCTCCTCGAAGCTGTCGATCATGAAGAAGATGTTGGGGTAGCTGATCCTGGACTCCTCCCCTTTGCTGTCCATGGGGTGTTTACTGGGAGACGCAAACACTTGCTGAGGGAAGGAGGGTTTAGGCTGAGCGAGGCGCCGCCGCCCAGCCCAGCGGCTGCTGTGCGTGGCCCCCCACCCGGCCCGCAGCCCAGAAGCCTGCGCAGGGGGAGCTGCCTGGGCTGGCCTGGCTCTGCTGCGCCCGGGGACCGGCTGGGAGGGCTCCTGGAGTCAGGAAGCCAGGCCCCAGGGGGGAGGGAGGAGGGGAGAGGGAGGGAGGAGGGATGGGGAGGGGAGGGAGGAGGCGGGAGGGGGCGGGGAGGGGGCGGCGGAGGGGCGCGCGGGGCTGGGGGGGGCGGGGCTCACCTGGGAGCGCCGCCTGTGGACGTGGATGTCGCCGCCGTCGGGCGCGCGCGTGCACACGGCGCAGGTCACCACGTAGTCCAGCTGGGGAGGCCGAGCGGGTCTGGGTCGGGGTCCCGGCGCCCCCCGCCGCCCCCGCCCCGGGCCCGCCGCGCCCCACCTTCTGCAGGACGAGGTTCAGGCAGACGCTCTCCTCCCAGTCGATGTCGGGGTCCCCCAGGCCGGGCAGCTTCCTGGAGTCGCGCCGGTACACCTCCACCTCCACGGCGGGCGCGGGCGCGGGCTCCGGCGGCTGCGGGCGGGCGGGCGGGCGGCGGGTCCTGGGCTGCGGGTCCTGGGCTCCGCCGCCGCCCCCCGCCCCGCCGTCCCCCCCCCCCCCGTCCCCCGCCCCCCCGCCCCGCCCGCGGCCCGCCCGCAGCAGCGCAGGTCGCCATGGCGACGGGCCGGACGCCGCCGCAGGGCCGCAGTGCGGGCCGCGCGCTCGCGCTGAGCAGCCGCCGCCGCCTGGACCGCGGAGGGTCCCCCTGCCGCCCCGCGCCCCCCATCCCGCCCCGCCCGGCAGGCCCTGCCGTCCGCGGACGTGGCCGTTGCCCGGGCGGCAGCGGCTGCCCTGCTCGGTCCCACCCGCTCGGGCCAGATGTCACCCCCTCCCTGGGGGGGCGGCCACCTGCACCCCGTTCTTCCCACAGACAGCACCCCCGTGTCCATCCCTGGCTTTGCTGTCTGTCTGTCCCACCAGGCAGGCGCCCCCCGAGGACAGGCCCAGGCGCCTCTCCTGCTCCCCGCGCGGCAGGGGGGCAGCTGCACAGCCCGCGGCCGCCTCCAGGCTCAGCTTTCCCTCGTGACCTCCAACCGCCGCTGTCCCCACAGACCCCAAGAGTCTGCACCCAGCCACACCCCGCACCCTCCTGCCCCAATGTCTGTGGTCCTGGGTCCAGAGGAGGGCCCCCCGCCCAGGAAGAGCCTCTGTCTCCTAAGGAACACCCTCCCCGACCACAGCCGGGCTCCTCCCGGCACCGAGACTCACGGGGCCCCCGGGAGATCTCCAGGCGCCCACTCACGACCGACCGCTTTGGGGAAATGACCCACCTTTTACCAAAATAACCACTGTCCGCCATCAACTCCCCAGGGCAGGTTCCCCTGGGGTGCCCTGCAGAGGAGCCACAGCACAGGAGGCTCCCCAAATGCCCGCCACCTTCTGCCAGGGGACGCAAGTGGCCACTCCAGCCCGTCCCCCAAGTCGCAGCCCAGGGAGGATGGGAGGAAGGGGCTGACCTGACAAGGAAGCGGCACAGCAAGTTGCGGGAGGGGGGACACAGCTGGGCTGGAAAGTTGGTCCCTGGCTGCACCCCCAGACAGGGTGGGCACGATGACCAGACACTGGGGAGCCCAGAGCAGGGCTCCCAAAGATGCTAGGCTCAGAGATCTCTCCACCAACACCTGCCCCCCAAATTCACCTATCAGCCCCTCTGCACCCCTCCCTGCTCACCCTGGGTGTGGCCCAGATGGCTGCCTCTGAAGCCGCCTGCCAAGGCTCCTCAGCACCCCCAGACCCCAGCCCCACCGCCCCGGCCCCTGCAGACAGGCCCCACCTCTGGCTCACAGCCCTCCCATGTCAGGCTCACCAGGCCCTGCCCCGGCCTCTTGCGCTGCACGTGCTCCTGGGGCCCCAGGGCCCACCTCAGAGCCAGCGGCCCCAAAGCTCTACTTCTGCTCCTCACCCCAGCTGGGTCTCAGGCACGAGAGCACCCCCCCCCCACCCGCCCCAAGACATCACGTCTGCACGGGGCACCGGCAGCACTGACGTCCCCTCCATGTCCCCTCCATGCCCCTTCCACGTCCACAGGGCCGAGGTGGACCTGGCTGCCAGGAGCCTGCCCCTGCCTGCCCGCCCGCCCGCCGAGCCCTGCTGGCTGAGCCACTCTGGGGCTGCCCTCCTGCCCGCCTGCCGGGCCGCGTCCTTGCTTCCCCCTAACCCTCTGGTTCAGGGGCTTCCCAGGACTTTAGGGGCAAAGGTTCAAACTCCTGGGCACGAGCTTCAGGGCACCCTGACCTGCAGGCCTCACCCACAGGCCGGTCCCTCCGCTTGTCCCCTTTAGACTCACTCACAGTTGCCGTGTGGCCCCGCCGGCCACTCCAGCCGCCGGCCCCAGGCCCCCGCCTGTGTCGGTGCTGGTCACCTGTGCCGCACTCGGGGCCTGTGCCCACACCGGCCCATACTGGCCGCCACAGGCGCAGGGTGTGCGAGGGGCCGGCAGGCCCCGGGTCCTCTTGCCTGCCGCGTGGTCAAGCCAGACAGTCGCAGGGGCACGCAGGGCCCAGCCTGGTGGAGGGCGCCGGCTGTCCACCGCACAAAACCCTGCAGGTGTCAGGCCCGAGGCCCTTGGCAGGAAGGGGTCAGGTGCCAGCTGTGCAGGCCACAGTGCACAAGCCACACTCAGGGCCGGCACCCCGCAGGGCGGCCTCCTCACACCCCCACGCCGGTGGCTAAGAGAAGGGACCTGTGCACCAGGCACTGGGGTGGCCAGGCTCTCGGCAGGGGACGAGCACCTGCTGTATCGGCCTCTGCGCACCTGCCATGAGCCCATCCCGAGGGGCAATGACTCGGATGCCGCAGCAGTGCTGGGAGGAGACGGGCAGGAGGCGCAACTCAGCCCGAGGTCGCTGTGGGGTCCCCCCAACCCCACCAGCAGGTGGCCTGCAGGGGACCCCACCTGTGCTCCTCATTTATCAGCTCACTGGACGCGCTGGCCAGGGCCTCGGCAGCTCCGGGCTCAACAGCGACGCTAAGGCCGCCTTGCGGGGTCCCAGAGAAGCGGGGCCACACGTGTGCACCCCCGCATGGGGGGCAAGTGGCCCCACACGAGGCAGGCGCCACCCCCCCACGCTGGCACCGGCAGGCAGGGCGGCCCTCCGGGAGCCAGGGCAGGGCGCTGGGCCGGGCACTCACCTGCCGCCCGTCACTGCCGCCCTCGCTGCCCGCGAACGCCAGCTTCCTGCGCACGTAGAAGAGCATGTCGTCCTGGCGCGGCGCCCACTTCTCCATGAAGTAGGTGGAGAACATCCAGGTCCAGAACACGATGCGGTCATCCTTGAAGCACCCTGCGGGGGGCGAGGGGCCTTAGTGGGGGGGGGGGGCACCGCCCGCCTCCCTGCAGCGGCATCACAAACCAGCGGTTCAGAGGCCCCTGCCCCCCGCCCCCACCCCGCGGCTCCGGAGAGGCTCAAGGACGCCCCGAGGCCGAGGCCCCACTCCTCCACCAGGAGGGAGGCTGGCCCCCCGGCCCCATCCCGGCCCGGCCCCATCCCGGCCCTGCCCGGGAGGAGCAGCCGCAGCAGCAGCTTCGCTGAGGAAGGCAAGGAGAAGGCGAAGGCGGGGCCTGGGGCCTGGCGCTGGAGGCGCTTCCCGGGAGGCCCAGCCCTGGCAGCGCCCCGCCCCTGCGGCATTCCCTGGGAGCCCCGACTTAAAGGCACAGCCCCCCGGGCGCCTCGCGGCCCGCCCTGCTGTCACCGGCCCCCACGAGGGCTCCGCAAAGGCACCGGGTTCCAGACAGCCGGAATTTCAAGATCTGCTCCGCGGTTATTTTTCATAAACTCAAAACAATAAATTGTTGCTGAATTTTCTCTCTCACGTCCTCGCCCCCAGAACACCCCACCCTGGCCGAGCTCGGGTGCTTCCGGCTAGAAGGTCCCAATCCAACCGCCCGCGGGGCCCTCCCTCCCCCACCCGGCCAGGACCCAGCCCCTGCTGCTGGGCCGGCCCTCGGGTCTCTGCTCTCCCCCGCCACCCCGCGGCCCCTCCTCGGGGGTCTCACGCACACAGACAGGGCCTGCCGGGCACCCACACCGAGGCCTCCCGTGTCCTCACTGCCCGGCCAGCGCCATCTCAGGGCGCACCAGTCAGGGGCTTCCAGCCAAAGGCGCACCCTCCGCGCTGCAGCCTCGGGGGCCTCGAGGACAAGACCCCCTCCCGGGAACCTTCCCGCTGCATGTGGAATAAAACCCAAATCCCACAAAGAGCTCCGTGACAGCACCCCGCCCCCCCACCCCCCGCCCCGGGCTCCGGCCTGCTCGCGGCCGACCCAACCCTGACCCGGTGAGCCCGGGCCCTCCTCAGGGCGCGTGTGAACCTGGGCTCCGTGCCTCAGCTCCCCGCCCCGGGCCTCTGCACAGGCGGCTTCTGACACTGAGTATGGCGGTCCCTTGGGTCTCTGCTGACCCCCTACTAGAGGTGTCGCCTGTCCCAGGAGGAGGGAACTCCGTCTTAAGCACTGCTAGGGCTCAGCGCCCAAATACGCAGGCACACGGCGGGCACACTGTGTGCACAGGCTGGACCCGCCCCGCTGAGCAGGGAGCAGGCGAGGGAGGGGCCGGTCTGCCCGGGTGCCCACAGCAAGGACGTGGCCCCGCGGGAGGAGATGCAAACTCAGAAACGCGGCTCCTTGGGCAGCACAGGCCAGGGCCCAAGGCCAAGCGGGGGAGGGCTCCCGGACAAAACGCGTGGGTGGACGTGGGTGGCACGCCAGGGACCAGACCTCTCAGACTGCCCCATGCCCGGGACTCCAAGTCACACCGGGGGAGACCGGGGTGGAGGGGACAGCAGCCCTGCTAGCGTCCAGCGCCCCGGGGCCCACAGAAGTGCAGCTGGTGTCAACCAACAGGGACAGGACAGCGGCGGGAGCCACAGCCGCGAGCTGACGCCCCGACACAAGGCTCAGGAGGACCGTAGGGGCGAGGGGTCCCGGGTCAAACCCCCAAGCGGGCAGTGGCCCACCAAGGAGGCCACTGATGGGGAAATATTCATCGCATGGGCCTCCCGGGGGCCCAGAGGCTGAGTCTCAGGCTGAGTCAGGTCCCCAGCCAGGGAGCTACCCACACGGTGCAGCAGACCCCTGCCGTCTCCCCGCCGCTCCCCGCAGCAGTGGATTTCAGTGGATCCGCCTGTCCTGCTCCCCACTCTGTCTCTGGGGAGTCCTCTCACCTGCCGCACCTCTGGCCTGTACCCCAGCTCTTGTATAAATAAATAAATCTTAAAAAAAAACTTAAAAGAAATGAAATAAAAAGTCCATTTATAAAAACCGGCAAGTCTGAGTGAGTCAGGCAAGTTAGCCACGGCCCGGCCACTCCCAGGCGAGCCCAGGAGCTGACTCCCCGGCTGCCTCAGCTCACTGCCCGGCCGAGGGGGCCGAGGGGGCCGAGGGGGCTGAGGGGGCCGAGGGGCCGGCTCCCGCCCTGGCGCTCACCTGCGCAGCGCCCGCAGAGCAAGACACGCGCCCAGGGGGCACCCCCGGTTCAGAAAGGCGAAGCCCTAGACCGACGCGGCTGGGGCGCCCGGGCCTGCTCCTCGAGGATGCGGGGGCTCGCAGGTGCTGCCTCGGCCCCCCGGCGCCACCCGCCGGCCACCGAGACCCGGCCGCGCCAGGGCAGGTGGGACGGGGTCTCCATCGCGAAGGCGGGTCGTCGTGTCCTTCATGGAGGCAACGGCTCGTCCGCGTTACTCACGGGTGAGAAATAAAAAGTGAACGACGAAAGCCTCGGCGCAAGGACGCTCCCTCCCCGCCGACGAGCGAGTCAGAGCTGACCACAGCGCCGCAGCGAGCGGGCAGCAGTGCCCCGTGTGGGCGCGAGTCGGGGGTAGCGGCTCCGCCCAGGACCTCACGCCGTGGAGCCCGGGAGCAAGCCCCAGGGGGGCCGCGGCCTGACAGGCCTTTTTTCTTTTCATGGTTTTTAATATTTTTAACAGTCAGATCACGCGACATTTCCCTGTCAAAGCACAACTTTTGACGACTGTCACGGGCGTTTATAGAAAGCAAGAGTGGAGGGGAGGAGGGGACCCAAGCTCACACCCCAAGTCCACGCCCCCGTGCAGTGCTGCACACCCCGCCCCACCCAGCACTCCACGCCCCAGATGCATGAGCTGAATGGGCGGCATAACAGAACCCACGGCTCACGGAACTGGCCAAGGACTGAGGAGTGTCCACCGCTCACGCATGTGCTGCCCTCTACAGTTTACAAAGCCATCCCCCATGACCTCTTTACACCCTTGTGGCAATTTGGGTGACCTAAGCTTAGATCAAAACCCCAGTTTAAAGAGAAGGAGACGGAGCTTGGGATCCAGAGACCAGCCGGCACTTGGGGCTGCAGGCGGGGCCGGCACGCCAGGCCTCTGGCCGCTCGTAGCAGGGGACACTGGGACCTCAGGTCACCTGGCGGGCAGCGGTGAAATCAAGTCAGGCTTCCAAAATTATCCACTGACGTCTGAGCCCAGGAACAGCCCTGCCCATGCCCCGGCACCCCAATCGCGCTCCAGGAGGGTTCATAGTGACCATTCCAGTCCCACTGTGCCCCCAGAGTGCTCCACGTCCTCTGGGAAGGCCACGGGACTAGACTCGCGGGCCACAGCACACGGGCACTTGAGTGTGGCTCAGCTCCCTTCCACGAGGCCATCACCTCAACGTGCGCCGAGAAGGAAGGCAGCCCGGGGTCTCACGAAACTTTACGGGGTCACGAGAGGCTCAGCACAGAGCTGGCGCGCATCTCTGACCCCCACCCACTTGGTTTGCATCACTCCAACCCTCAGTTTCCTCATCAGCAACATGGGAACACCAGCTCACGCCTCCCGTTGCTGTGGAGACTGAATGACTAACAGGGCGCTCCCTCCCGCACGCAGCACTTCCCCAACACGCAGCGCTGGCGCCATGAACAACCCGGGTCGCGGCCCACTACTTACCCGGGCCTTTGGGGTGACTGCACCTCGGACGGCAGCAGGCCTTTCTTGGAGCCCGCCCAGTCCTCCCCAGCTGACGACCCCGCAGAGGTCAGCGAGCTGTGGTCACGCCCGGTGACAGCTCAGCTGCGGGGGGAGAGAGGGCGTGGGGCGGAGAGCCCAGCCGGGCTCCCCCGAAGCCGAAGCCGGGGTGGTTTGAAAGGGCGAGACCCGGATCTCCAGGAAAGCGCCCCAGGGCCCTGCACGCGTTAGGGCACAAGGAACCTGCACATTCTTGTCGCTGAGGCACAACATCGGCTCCAAAGCCCCTCCCACCCCCACACAGAAAATTACAGGCCAATCGCACGCGTGACTAGCACCATAAACATGTTAAACGCTGTTCAGACGAATCCAGCGATCCAGTGAAAGGCTCTACCGTGACCAATCAGGACCTAAGCCAGGAAAGCAAGAACGGGCTCTGCTGGTGGACTCGCTGCATCGGGAGGGAAACAAAACGATCTTCTGGAAAGACACTGGGGAAACGCAGTAAATTGCATAAAAAGGACTAAATGGCTACGTCTTTAAACAGAAAAGCCAAGAATAATCACAAGCCCCCATTTCTCTTGTCGAAGCAGCACCAACAGGTGTGCAGACGTCGTCAAGTTCACCCTCAGAGTCGCTGGACCCTCCACCCTGTCCTCGCCAACCGGCTTTCACCGACACGGCCCGCAAGTTACTCAACGACACCGGGGACCACGAAGACAAGGCAGAACTACCCTTACGGGCGGTATCCACCTGCCCTGGAAAATGGAAAAAAAATTTCAAGTGAGGGCCTCCCCCGGTGGCGCGGCGCAGCGGTTGGGCGCTGGGTTGAGAAGCTGCCCGCGGCCTCTGCAGCGCCGGTTCGATCCCCGGCTGCTCCCCGGCCACCGGAGGAGGGTCCCACATGGTGCGCAGACCTCTCCTGCCGCCCGCTGCTCCCCTCAGCAGTGTCCTTCGGTCCTTCTGCCTGTTCTGCTCACCGCTCTGGCTCCGGTGGATTCTCTCACCCTCCCGCGCTCTGACTGTGCCCAGTGCTTGTATAAATAAATAAATAAATCTACAAAAAAAAAATTTCAAGTGAAAAATTACTCAAGCACTAGCAGCCATGAGGTGTCTCCCCATCCAGGCACAAAGCCACTAGAACACACAGAGACAGAGCAGGGGTACAGACCAGCACCCCTTATTAGCAGGTGTGACCGGGGAATGTTCCTGAGTGAAAAAAATAAAGCGCAAGGGGTTAAGCACTGCACTGTGAAGCTGTGCGCAGCCTCTGCAGCACGAGTTCCATCCCCCGCCAGGGAGCTGCCCACAGGGCGCAGCAGACTCTCCTGACTCGCCCGCTGCTCCCCTCAGC